TAATTTACTTGAGTCAGTCTGGAGCAGTGTTATCGGCAGTGAATATGAAGTGTGTAAACTCCTGTCTTATTGTCACTAAAATATCAATAGTCGTAATAAATGTTTGCTCGCTCGCTATTCATCACGGAGCCAAGCAAAGCTTGAAGTTTGCAGCTGGAAGTCACTGAACAGAGCCCAATGTGATGAGAGACATGCATTAGCATATTCAAATGTAGTAGGGAAATAMAAATTGCTTGTTCCAAATTACTCAAATTAACTATTTTCAAGGCCTTCCGCTAAAGCACCAAGAGAAATACTTGGTCCCAGCAATTGGATTCTCCCAGTTTTCTGTGGCTGCCCATCATTTGGGAGGCTGAAAGCCTCTCTGAGCAGCCTCCCCTTCTTCCTTTTGCAGTGGAAGGGCTCGAGGTCAGCCTAAAAGCAAGAGGCTGCTTGGGAGGCTCTTTGTGCTGGGATGTTGTAGGGCTTTAGAGGGGGTAAATTCATGAAACAAGATTATAGCATAAAACAATGAGGTAGGAAAAAATCAGAGGATTAGTAAAATAAAGGAACTTCTTCCGCCGCTGTAGCCCAAATTGCAAAACTACTGTGCATGTTGAACCTAAACGTTTTCATTTTAAGAAGAGAAATAGCATTAAACACGATGCTGCCTCTCCCTCCATGAAGCTTGCCTTGACTCGAGTTCCTGCTGTTTATAGCTGAATGCTCCGCATTGCTCCAGAACCACCCGTTCCTGCCCCCCTGGAAAAGCCGGCGACTCCTTGGGCACCTGGAGCGGCCAGGGCTCCGCGTGCGGCCGGCAGCAGCACGAGGGCGCGTTGAGCAGGCGCTGCCTTCAACAGCTGCCTAATTTAATCAGGTCTTGTTACAGCACAATGATTCAACTGTAAGCAGCCTGTAAAAACTGTAATAAGCATAATAAGAAATGCACGGCTTTTTTTTTTTTTTTTTTTTTAAATCTTTTCCCCTCTGTGGTTTTTCATGCTGTCAAAGCCCACTGCCCGGGAAGCTGTGACGTGCTGCAAAGCTGTTTGTCAGCGCCCGGGTTTATTTTTGCCGAGAAGAAGCATCGATTAGGGAATGAGAAGCATTTAGTTGAACAGCGATCGATGGGGAGCAGGCAAAGGACACTCGGGAGTTTGACCCGTTTTGCTGTGRACTAAAATGGAGAGCGTGGGGCCGCGGAGCGACGCGCTCGCCTCGGCGCGGAGGTGACAAGGGGACGGGTACAAGACATCGAGGAGGGGCTGCTCTGCCACAGGACCCCCATGCTGCAGAATTCATTCRTGCAAACGACACTCCTGCTCCTTCCTTTGCTCCAGCCAACAGGTCAACCCGGCGCCCTGGCTCAAGGGGCTCCGAGAAGCCCTGGGGAAATCACATTTCCTGGGAGTGGAATGTTCCTTGTGTCGAAGACAGGGAGACCCTGTCAGTTACAGAAACCAATTGGGAGAGGAGGACACAAAGTGCCAGTTTCTGGTTCAGTTAATATATCATAATTAATCCTAGAAAATCGTATCTTTTTTTTGTGTGATTTTCTTCACCTCATTTAAGCCCAATGCAAAGTATCTGTTGGAAATCAATATTAATTACACAGAAATCGTGGCCTGCTTTGGCACATGCTTAAAAATAGTTGTTAAAAAATTAATGTGAAGGTTAATAGCCTGATTTCAAGCAACGTTTAGCCTGTGAAAAATATTCTTATGTAGACTTTTGCTAACAAAATAGCTCTTCCATTTTAGTGTAATTAGTAGTTCCAGAGTAAACCTGCTGAACCTATTGGGATAAACAAATTGCAGAGAAAAGAAGAATCTTGCTTACATTTAAGCAATAGCCCCTTTCACTGCTTACCAAGTAACTTTAAGATTGTATCTAGGTCCCTTTTAGGTTATTTTAATACTTGTACTAAGCACTCCTATTATACCTGGCTTTACCTGTCTGGTAAAGACAGAAATAGTGTGAGCACAGCCCATGGAGAGAAGAAATTGCAATTAGAAAAGAGTTTGCAAGAATGAATTTATATAACTTCATTGGATAACAGTAGTGATTTTTCTGGAGTTTAGACATTGTGATGTATTTCTTTTTATTTAACTTTTTATGCATTCACATGTTACTTGTATTCCTTTCCAGTACCGATAAAGTGGCCTCGATTTAGCACAGAGGAGCTTAGAAAGGTGATTAAGGTGATGCACAAAATTTTATAGACTTCAGAGATACTTTATCTGCTGCCAGGAGGAAATAAAGGAAGAAATATCTGGGCCATGCTCTAGGTTAGGCTCCCTTCTCTCTCCTGAGACTTCATTATGGCTTTTCTTGTGTGAATAGCAATGGGTCCTGCTTGTGTAGATGAGATTGCTGCTGCTTTGCGCTACTTTGTGCCCAGTTTGAGTCCTGGAGACTGAAAACTGCTCAAGGCGGGTGCTCGTTGCTCCCTTTCCCCCTCCTAGACTAGTTAGTCTGCGACRTGACTGCAAGTGGCTCCGCTTTCTGCAAGGGTGGCCGCAGAACATCGAGGCTGCCGTCGTGTCCCGGTCCTGCGGGACGTTTCTGGCTGCTGGGAGGAGAGGCAGGACCCCAGGGCCATGRGCTGGTGCTTCTCGTTGGGTTCTTGCCATCCTGGGGCCACCCATTCCCTGCGAGGAGCCTCGGCTGGTGCCCGAGAGCTGCTTGCCTGCAGCTGGGCGAGCCACGCTCGACACTTCGCTCGGCGCAGCGGTTCACACCGCTTCCGTTTCTTATTTATTCTTCATTATCTGTCTCTTAATTTCACTTCATTTCTCAAATCTTACTGCTCTCGCAAGGTGAACTGGTTGTGGTTGGTTAGGGCAAACCCTGGGTCCCCTCCTCATTGCTGAGTGTGAACGGAGTGGATGGTAACGTCAGCGCTCGCTGATGCACCCGCGAGGGGCCAAGGAAACCCCCAAGTGGCTTGTGCAGTTTATGCCTTAAACACAGGATAGTGGCTGCACGTTTCTCCTCGTGGCGTTTTCATTACTGCCCTCTGAAAGCCCCTTAGCAGCACTCAATGTCACCTATAAGAAAAGATGCCAGGGACAGTATGCGAYAAGGGCCACCAAAAAGCTTTAGCGGTGGCTCCGGTGGGCGCGAAGCTGGAGAGATGCTGGGGGCTGTGGAAGTCCCTGCGTTGCCACTYGCCCGGGTTGCCCTCGTGCCCGGCGCCTGGAGCGGCCAGAGGCCAGCGGACATAAGGAGGACATAAGTTAGATCATTTAACTAGCGCAGTGAATTTATTTCCAAATAATTCATTTCTTGTTTTGAATTTTTCCCTTTTCCCAATATTTTGACTAGCCAAACAGAAGCTCTCTGCTCTCAGCGTAGTCACTGTATCTTCCCACGGCCAATAGATATTTCATTTACTCCTTAGCCACCCCCTCTGTGACATCTGCTTATTTATCACTGTATTTAAAGTCCCTTTTCTACTTGGTAATGTTCATATTTTTGCTCCTGTGGTTCCTGCTATAGTAAATTATTATCCAGTAAGATTTATAGCTGTGGGACTTGTACAAATAGTCTTATCTTCCCCATCTAATGGCTTAACACTAAGAAACCTTTGCTATTTTCTAATGAAATGCTATATAGAATTTCTAGATGCGTTTTTGCAGATATGCCAGAAAAATTTAGGTTGCAACGAAACTGCATCCATCAGCCTACAAACCGCATGTGCACCGAGATTTTTCAGCGTACCTGGATGCTGCACATGGAATAATTTCACAGTGYCAGTAGTCGGTGGAGCCCTCTTCACTAGGGAAGCATAATGTTAATCGCCTATTTTTATTATTTGTTTCTTACCTCATTTAAATGCACAAGGAAAAAAATCATTTAGTTTCTGTGTGGGAGTCTCATGGAAAAGTGCGTATTATTTTATTCTACTAGCGTGTTTCATAAATTATCAGTTCTTACTCCTCCTAAATCACACGTGGCTACTTTAAAATAGGGTTTCACTGTCATTAGTTTTGCTTTTATATGACATTTTAGTATCCAGAACTAACATAAAAGAACCACTAAAGATCAGCCCCCGACGTGGTTGATTTATCTGGGTTTCACAGTACGTCGTGGTGGGTGCTGTGGTCCCGAGTTTCAAGAATTAACAACAGCCATAGCCTTTGAGAGGAGTAGGAAAGCTACTGACATTTTAATTTCCTTTGCATTTCCTTGCCTGGATACCCTGTTTTTATAAAGCCTAATCTTTCCCGTAACATTTCAGCAGGCTCCAAGCTGGGAGATGGGAATCCTGCTCCCAGCCCAATCCAGGAATACGGTGGCTGCAGAATCAGGGTCCTGTCTGCTCCCGAGGCATCCAGGCAGCCACGGGTGATGAGTTGGCCTCAGGAATAATAGAAATGGGCCCATTTCAGCCTTCTCATGTATTATCAAGAAACATTAAGTTGCTTACATCTCAAATATGACTTCTGGAAGTTATTTTGAGTAGAGATGAAGGAAAAAAAAGAGCTTAGGAAGGAGAGGAGTGGCTCTTTCTAAATAGCTGTTGGGCTGCTTTTCGGTACGTCTGAGCCAAATAAGAGTCACTCAAAGTAATGGGGATATTTTATAGCAATCTGCCATCCTGCAGGTTGAGACTCCAACAAATCAAAATATGCTGTTTTTTTGTTTGTTTGGGTTTTTTTTGTTTTTTTTTTGCAATAGCCCTAGAGAAAAACAAGAGGGAGAAAAGCAGGATTTTTTCACTGTGTTATGTTATCTTATGTTGAATTATTAAACTGTAGRGAAAGTTGAGGTTCTTTGCTTTGGAGTAAACATTATGTTTACTGTAGGGAATAACTCTCTCAGGCGACAAAACCAGAAGACTTTCCATTTCTAGTCGATGAATCTATGTAATGTTGCCATATAAAAAAGTCGGGATTGCATAGTTGGGGTAATAATTTTGATTGCTTATTGATCCTTCCCAAACTTTATATAAAATTTATCTTAAAAAGATGTTTTACATCTGCAGTTAATGAATATCCTTTCTGCTCTTTCAGCGTGAGAAGCTGATACATGAGTTGGAGGAAGAAAGACATTTAAGACTTGAGAGTGAGAAGAGACTGCGGGAGGTGACGCTGGAGTCGGAGCGAAGCAGAGCTCAGATGCGTGGACTGCAGGAACAGTTTTCCAGGTATGTTGTATGAGTAAACATGTATGTATAACATAGGGCAAGAATGTGCTTCCATACAAGAAGGTTGGTGGAACTCCATGGTGACTTGGAGGGAATTTAAGGCCAAAAGTGACACCTCTGAAATTCCATAAAAACAATAAGTGTTTGGCTAAGTGACTGGTATCATCCTGTAAAATAGAAGGGGCTTATGCCATTATTCTAYATAAAGATGTAAACATTTCATTTCTAGAGACTCTTGTATTAGAATTCCCAGTGTTTTTCCAYAGGAGGTACAGGGCTTCATGCGTGTTGAGCAGTTCACATCCTTGAGGAATTTGTTTGCTTGTTTTTAATTATTTAAAGTGCTGGAAGAGAAGCTGTTGTCTTTACAATTGAAAGTAATGTCCCTATTAGCTGTTAAGAATTTGTTAAGGTTTGGGCAGTCTAAATAATTGAGGAAAAAACAGTGCCTTTTACCTGCTAGGTCACCATCTGGCTTGGACATGTTGAGAATCTCTTTCTGCATTGACTTGAATAGAGCTCTGTGCTGGAACGTAGCTCCACGTTTCTACTGGAAAACCATCTTAGACCTGGAGATTTAAGACAAACTATTCAAATAACCACGATAGGGACTGGAGTTCTTTGTTGTTTCTGTGAGAGACAATGAGATCATCAAATACAATCTTTTTATATTGCATTATCATGTGAGCAGAAAATAAAACAATCAGGACAGAATCAAAAGAGATGATGGAATTTTATGTTGTATATTTTCCATCAACATTAGATACTAATTCATTCTTTTTGCCCTCCCAAAATGTTTGAAAAGCTCAGGTTTAGTTTTAAAATGATGAAAACAGGCTGTGGGACAGACTTTTTTCTTTGCTTGCTTATTTATGTGAGGGGAGATTAGGGTTTTCTATGTTTTGTTTTTTTCTCTTTGCTCAGTGTCTGTCATGATGCACCTCTGGTGCAGGACTGGGTTTCTAGGCAACACTGAAGAAGCGTTTAATAGTAATAACAAAATTTGATCTGATTTTTTTTTTTTGGAAAATTTCCATTAAAGCTTTTAAGGTTTTTTTTAAACAAAGCTTTTAGAGATGGCTGAAATTCTTTTCTCTAAAAAATGCTAAAGACCAAGATTTTCTTCCTTTTAAAAATTTTTATTCTTGTTTTATCATCTTTAAATTAAAATTTTAATTATTCTGATGAGGCCCCCTGAATGGCATTCACAGGCTTGCACACACACACACACACATACACACACACACACACACACACACACACACTTAAAACCACTCCGGGAGTATTCTTTGTTATTTTGCCCTATTGAACATTAATCTTTATTTATGGAAGAAGTTCTTGAGGTCCTTGTTTTAGAAGAGTAGTTCTTGTTGCAATAGCTAGAAACCCTTATGCTCTTCAAGTAGATGGGGTCGTGGTTTAAAGAAAAGAGAGTGTGAGGGGATAACAAACAGTCTCCCCAGTAATGTGTCTAGTAACTTTGTAAAATTTAAGGGTTCTGCACATGCAGGACTTTTGAGCAGCACTTTTTCCAGTAAAATTGTGACAGTCTGATTCAGTTGACCAGGATTTCCAAAAAGGGTGACTATGTTGTTAGGTAGCATCCCTGAAGTCCACTCTCTGCTAATTAATCCTTTTTTCCTCCATTGTTATTCACAACCTAGGTGACTCTGAAATAATTCTAGCAAGAAGCACAGACATTCAAGTTGTTTGGTTTAAAGCTGTTTGTCTTCTTATTTTTGTGCCTGTGATTTATATAAAGCTGGAACAACCTAAATCACTATTACGTGCTTTCCATGAATGTCTGCGTTTTAGCTACAGTGAGAAAAGATAGACTTAAATATCACTTTTCATTAATGGCACTTGAATTTGGCTCATTGCTGCCATTGGCTTCATTAGCGGGTAGACCAGATGCTAGGAGGAGAGCACGGCTCTTATGTGGTGTAAAAGCAAATAAAGTTTTAGTAATGGGTGTTAGAGATTATTTTTTTCTTGTACTTAGTATAATATTACAGCATGACTGTACAAAACCAGACTTTCTTTCCCTAAACGAGTGCATTTTTCTCACTGTGTGAGATAGCAGATAATGAACCAGGCAAGGGGCAGTGCGGCGCTGCGGAGGGGTTGTGTTCCCAGGGACTGGAGCCTTTTATATTTTTCCAATTTGGCGTACAATTAAATGGGGCARGAGAGGTGCAGATGGGAAGAGATGTTAAAATTGAAAGTGTTGTGGGAGAGGATGCCTAGGAAATAATTCTCTGCACCCAAATTCTCTGCCTTTCAGAAGTACAGAATAGGTAGAAGACTAAAGCGAGGGCATAATCTTCTAAATCTGTGTAATTCCTGAACAGAGTAGATTTACATGCAGTTGTTCCTTCACTTGCATGAAGCACAGCAGGGTAAGCAGTAATTTGGAGCGTGTTTTTTCTTCCATCTCAGACTATTTTCTCCACATCTTTGAAAGAACGAAACATAATAGTATGTGGAAAGCTCTAAGCTGACCTTTCGTGATGGGGGAGKAAAGCTGTCTGTTCCTATCTGAAGTTGTGTGAAAACTTTAATCTATTATATAAGCGTGAGTTTGAAGACTTCAGCAGGCAAGCTTTTTTTTCTTTTTCTTCCTGATGTTTAGTTTTTATTGATGTTTCTGTTCTTAGCAAGTAAGCAATATTCCAGGCTAAGACTCTGAAGTAAATCGAAGTCCTGTGTCTTAACATCTGTATAAATCTGTCAGAGCCTTAAAATGACACGGTGTCTACTTTGATAAATACGTGGTGGCTACTCCAGAAGGAGAAGGAACTTCTAAACCTAACCCTTTTCCTGAACTGCATCGTGATATATGCGTGTAGAAGAGAGTTTGGGTTTTATCTTTATGGGGTGATGGTGTTGAGGTGTGGAGGGTCCTTCAGGGAGACGGTTTAGTGCTGAAGCCGGGTTTTTGCACCGCAGTCAGATGCGGTTATCCTTGCGCTGCCTTCGTGTAATCTCACCTCGGGGTGAAATCCTTCATGTCCCCGCTCTCAGAACCGCTGAGGTCGGTTGCTTTTCGGCAGCTGCTCTGCAAGGCTCTCTTGGCATGGGAATGTGCAGGGCGTAAAGAGTAACCCTCCAAATACCTTTCAGCCCCATTTCTTCGGAGACGATGCCATGCAGTTTGTCTTCCTCGCTTTGAAGGTCACCACTTGGATCAGTAGGTGCTGATATCTCTGGCTAGCTATGGAAAAAAAACATGGGCTAACCTATTTTGTGTTTTATTTAATTTTATTAATTGTTTTTCTTTTTTCTTTGTCCTTTGGATGACTTCTTTGGGAGCATTACAGAGGCAACCTCTGTATCTCGTGTGCCTCCTTGTTCTGTGTTTCAGCTGCGCTTTCTCTAGTAAATTCAGCATCTTTCTACAGCAGCAGGTACAGAGATGCAACTAGACCCCTGAAGCAGTGGGTGTGATTTATACCATCACTCTAAGAAGCACACTAACACCGCAGTGTAAATTGATTACATTTCTGCACATCAGTAAGCAGTACAAATTGTTGTTTGTTGAGTGCATACAGGGCATGTGACTCCAAACTGGCATTAGATGTTAAAGGAGTAATGGAAACAGCTTTGGCCTAAGGTATTTTGATTACTGTTTTTGGTTGAATTGAAACAAGCCCAATGAAACACACTCTAGTAAGGTTTGTCTGTAAACAGTAGTTGAAGGTGCTGGTATCAAGGCTTTAAAATCCCCTTTGTGTAAATATCAAAAATTCTTCGGTTAAGATGACTGGTTTTATAGGTATTTGTGACTATGCTTGGAAAACAGTCCTGGGCTTTCAAGAATGCGAGTTACCATAAAAATAGCAAGTGGTTCTCATTTGATCCATCAGGGTCCTGCAGGTTGGATAGCTCTGATTCTCCTTAGATGGTATTTTAGCATTGTCCTCTCATCACCATGTCACTTCCACCAAAGGGAAACGTGACTGCCACATGTCTGATAATGCCTGGCATGCAATGAGTGGGTCTCCTTGGTCTGAGCATGTGCTCCTTGGCTTTCTCCAAGAACCATTAATTCTTTCTGCCTTCTCTGCAGATGAGTGGACTTGAGGACTATTTTCTTAGCAGCTGGTATCAAAGGCTGCCACACTTACAAGTTTTATTACATGTGGTTGTGCTGTGCGCCCGTCTCACTTGTCCCCTGCCTTCCTGCTCTGCTTCCTCCTGCCAGAGGTTGCTGAGGTGTGTTGGCTCCCTGGGTGTAAGGTTCCTGGGAGCCCTTGCTGAATGGAAGGTAGGGCTCGTGTCTAGTTTTGCCAGCCCCATGCTGACGTTGGTTTTTTTGGTACACAGGACGAGTGCCTTCTCCTGACCTTAACTTCGCTTCCTCACCCTGGCCAGGCTTGCTGAGCCCTGGGAGATGGGATGAGCACCAGTGTTGTTCTTCACTGTGCCTTGGGTTTGGAAGACTAGAGGACAAAGCTTCATACCTGTTTGAAATGTGAACACTGTAGTTTTTCAATAACACATTGTTTGAAGGTAGTTGTTCTGTGTGTACCCTTGGTTTCCTTCAAAAGCTCACGTTCTGATTCTGATGTTAGAGAGCAACTCATTGAAACGSAGGTGTTTTTGTATCAAAGTTGAGCAGGAACTAAAGCAATGAGGTCAAAGGGACTGCAGAGAGCTGGAGAACTGGCGTAAACTCAAAGCACTGAAGTTGTGCAAAGAGCAGAAGTTCTGAGATGCTGGTGTGTGYGACGTACATTGACTTATGTAACCCTTTTGAAGAGCAGTAGATTGCTTCAATCCATATTTAAGATGCCCAGAAAGAAGCATGCAGTTCTTGAAGTCCGAGGTACTCTTCAGGCACTCGAAGCTGCCATAGGAGCCTGCCCTGACGTGCTAGTGAATCATGAGGCAGCCTTTCATGGCATCTCTCAGTTGCTCTGAAAGCTTCCTTTGTAGCTGCCACAGACAAAAGCACAGTTTTCTGTTTACTTGGAAGATCCCAGGTTGGCTTTTTGTGT